TAATTTTTAGGAAGAATAGGACTGTGCTTTTAATTATAACGCGCCGGTTCTCGTTTTCTTCCCCATCTCCCCCAAATTTGCTACCTTTTTCTTGCTTATGAGTGTTCCCATATCCAGTCTTTTGTGGCTTGCGCGGACACTGGGTTAAGTTTAGTGACTTAATAGATTCCGCTCCTTGCCGTTTCTTTCCCCTTTTAATTTCTTCATTTTTATGCGTTTTTTGTAGCTATGCCAGTGCGGAAAACGCATATTGATGAGAGGTTGTCTGTGTGTGTGTCTTTGTGTACGCTGCGCGTCTGTACTGATTTTTCATCTCGAGACCTACAGGGCTGAAACTTTGGGGACATAATCTACATGCACGTACGGGCCCCCATACCCGAAATGGGCGTTCTTACCCACGTGGTACCCACGTAAGAGCCCACCAAGGTTTTTGCAGGTAAGCTGCTAAATCACGAATCACAAAAGCTAGAAGGCTGAAATTTTGAGGGGATATTCCTCGTCCACGTAAGTCTAAACGAGTTCAAACCCAGCCCCCGAGCAAGCGTGGTGTCCGCGTATGAGCCTGCCAAAATTTTTTTCGCATAAGTTCATAACTCGAGGATTTGAGAAGCTAGAAAGCTAAAATCTTAAGGGAATGTCTCCCGTCCAAGTGAGTGTTAATGAGCTCAAACCCATCCCCCGGGTAAGTGTGGTACCCGCGTATGGGCCCGTCAAAGTTTTTTGGCTAAGTTGGTAACTCGGGAATTTGAAAAGCTAAAGGACTGTAATTTTAAGAGAATATTCCCCGTCCACCTAAGTCTCATTGAGCTCAAACTCAGACTCCGGGTACGCGTGGTAACCACACAAAGGCTTGCCAAGTTTTTTCCGGGTGAGTTGCTAATTCAGGAGCCTGGAAAGCTAGAAAGCTGAAATTTTAAGGGGGTCTTTCCTAACAGTTCTGGCGAATCTTAATTTGTTTAACTAGAGGCATTTGTTGAAAAACCGGTGCCGGTGACAACAAAAACTGCGGGGAACTATGCGAAAAACGCATCTTCGCACGGGCAGCCCGTGCGTTGGCCAGTTGTTCTCCCTACCATGTGAGTTTGATGGAATTCATTGTAAAAGGCAGCCGTTCCGTTTTTTTATACGTTTTACGCTGTGTAACAGCAGCACAAAACGCATATTGTTACGGGGTTGTCTGTGTGTGTGCGTCCGAGTGCGTTTTGTCCTGCACTTTCAACTCGAGAACCTC